CAGACCGGTTAGTAAATTACTGCGTAAGGGCATTGAAATCTCTCTGAAACATTCAGAATTACCTAATTAACAGACAGAAGATTCATTAATAAAGTTATAATTTAAACTTAAATGAAAATAACATACAGCAACAGAGCTTTCTGAAATTTTTAGTACTTACAACAGCAATAACAGGTGTAACAGCAGATAACAGCTGAAATTTTTAGTACTTACATCAGCAATAACAGGTGTAACTCTACCTAAAAATATAATAAAATTATTATTAAAAACACAGATACACAATAATTTTTAAAAATTATTTATCAATTCATTTTATTATTATTATTATTATTATTATCAAACTACAACGACATCGTCGTGAGAAATGGCTATATAAAGACCATTTATGGTAGTTGTAAATATGCATTTTTTATATTATTGTCATAATTGTTTTTAAAAATGTTTGTTGTTTTTGAGTTTTGACAGTATACTGGCAGTTGATTCCATTGTTTGACTATCCTGTTTGTGAAGAAGTTGTACCGGATATCAGACTTGTTTTGTTCTCTGGTTAGAAAGTTTTGTTTCATACTAGTGTCAATACTTAGCTAACAAGAGTAACTTCTATCCTCAGCTCTTTACCATTTCTAACCAACATTAATGATCATCCTGAAAAACTCACAGGTGAAAAGCAACATTAATAATCATCCTGAAAAGCTCACAGGTGGCTTTATTTGTCAATGACATAGGAAACATATGGATTTGAATCATCTCGATATAGAGCTGACCTGTTAACTGTTGTTACAGAAAGGTTTGAAATTATAATTAGATAGAGGGGGTGAGGCCCATTCTATTGTTTTGGATGATCTGGATCATTGCTAAGTTATTATATTATGTATAGGATAATATAATAATAAAATAAATAATGTGTATATGATTGTATGAGATAATATTATAATAAAATACATAACAGTTTTTTTTTATAATCTCCATTCATCTTGTTTTCCTGATTTATAATTTAACTGATTGTAAATTGCATTAAAGTAACTCAAAACAAAAAAAAGAAGGTAAGATCAATAAAATTTGCTTTTATTAAATAAAAGTATTTAGATACAAAATGTTTGTGGTTATGTTAAAAATTAAGGGAAGTAGGCCTAATTAATTAAAAAATGTACTATAACTTATGATAGGTATAAGTTCTTACACAATTCCATTTTTGCTCACTTTTGAGCCTTTTGAAGTTAATATGATTTTTTGTTTTTTGCTTTGAAAAAAACAGTTTAAAGAGGGCCAATCTGTAATCACAATAGTCTATTGAATAGATAGATTGTAGCCTATAACCAAACTTACAGTTTTGATAAACAATTACAGTTTTGAGTCCAACCAGAGAATGCCTCTAAAAAATTAGATTATTTTTTTTTAAATTATTACCATCTTAAGAATTTTACTTTTAATTTCATATTTAGAATTCAAATAAGGTCCTCTTTCAAATTCTAAATATAAAATTAAAAGTGAAATTTGTCCTTATTATCCTTATATATCCTTATTAATCCTTAAGCCTTAATAAAGATTAATAAGGCTATATATAAGGATTAATCTAAGGATGTGTATAATTAATTTAAAGTCCTTAAATTAATTATTCACATTCTTAAATTAATTCTTATATTTCCTTATTAAACCTTTTTAAAAACTTTTGTTCTTTCCATTATTTTTGTTTGTTATTCAAAATAAAAAAACTTCTTATTCACATCCTTAATAAGGATTATTTCTTATTCACATCCTTAAACTATTTCTTATTTACATTCTTAAATTAAATCTTAATAAGGATGTGAATAAAAAATAATCCTTATTAAGCCTTAATAAGGATCATTTTTTATTCACATCCTTATTAAGGCCTAATTTAAGGATGTGAATAAGAAATAATTCTTAATAAGGATTATTTCTTATTCACAGCCTTAAATTATTTCTTATTTACTTAATAGCAAAATAGGACGGTTCATTTTATAAAAATAATATATAACTGCTTTAAATGGTATAAAAATCTTGACAATAAACATATGAAATTTGATTATGTTTTTTTTCTTCACTTAATTAGAAACTTAAATATTAGCTAAATAGTTTAGCTAATATTTAAGTTTCTAATTAAGTAAAAAAAAACAAAAAACATCAAATTTCACAAAGCAAACATAAAAATTTATTTATAACTTAGTAAACAAATGCAAAAATCAAAACAAAAAACATCATAAAGTACCCCAAAAAAAAGCATATAATGCATACATAATTTTAAAGCAAAATTCCTAAGCATTAAATCTTCAAGAATACATTAATTAATACTTGGTTTAGAGAGAGGAAGGGATATACTTGCCTTTTGAACAGGGAACCTTTTTAAAAAAAGTTTTTTTAACAAAATCAACCTTCAAGTTTTTAAACTTTGAGAACTAAAAATTTTTGTATAAATTTGAAATAGGTTCTCTTTTAGATTCTCCTTTCCATTCTTTTCCTCATCCTTTTTTTAATTTATATGGAAACTTTCATGCAAATTGGATGTGTTTTAGTACTTAGAAAATCTGTGTCCGGAGCAACTTTTTTCAACAAAAGTGGTCTCAAGATATTCATAATATTAAAGTGAAGCTAAATGAAGTATAGTACTTTCTATATATGGCTGGAAAGAGGTTGAGTAACACTAACTAATGCAAAGAACCCCAAGGTGATTGCTTAACCATACAAAAATATATAAGAGAGTAAAGTTTATGATAAGTTTGGTGTTTTTGGTCAATCGTCAAATGTTTTTCTTTGCGCCGTGGAATCACTATCTAAAAAGACACAATTTTTAAACGCAAACTTTGATCAAGTATTAGAGACAATTGATGAATCTAGTATTTTTCAGTAGACCTAAGATAAAATAATGATATACAATTAAACTTTTTATACGGGATTTTGAGCCACAGTCTCCATTTTACCTCCATAAATCATGAATTTACAAGTCAATAATTTTGAACAAAATTGTATAAACAAGGCATTTCCCGAAGCAATCAAGTCTTGAGGGTCCCTTTTTGGATTCCGCAAGTAAAAACCTATTGGGATACCAAATTTTAGGAAGTTTCCCCTAGCCATTATGAAAATACTTTATGTCACAGTCGCTTTGTAGTCGCTTCAAATAATCACTAAAATGCTGAGTCAGCATTATTTTAAGTGACGGTATCTCTAGAACCCATGTGTATTTTTAAACTAAAATTTTCGCAGTTATTGTTTTTTTTAATATAGACTGCAAGTGAAGTAAAAATGAACAAATTCTAATATAGAATTACAATTTTGTAGCTAAATATTAAAATATTTTTTTTTATAAAAAAACTTTTATTGAAATATAGGAATATAAAAATATTTAGCTACAAAAGAGAAATATTTTAATATGGGCTGCAAGTGAGGTAAAAATGAACAAATTCTAATATGGAGTTATAATTTTGTAACTAAATATAAAAATATTTAGCTACAAAAGAGAAACTTGTCTATTGTTTTAATACAACATTAATAAACAAAATGTAAAGAAAAAAAAATTGTTTTAAGCAAAATAATCTCAATAAATATAAAGAAAGTAAAAGTTTAAAAGTATTTTTAGCTTAGTTTTTTGATTTTTGAAGCAGGTTAACTATTTCCATAGTTTCTCACTTTATTCCATTTTAATTACAATAATTGTGGTTGTATGTAAATACAAATTATCTGTATTACAATACTTTATATGGTATGGTAGTATGTAAATAATTTACAAATGATGGTAGACTTTGTTTTAACAATAAATGAATTGTTTATTTTTAAAAAATGTGTTATTTTCAAAAAAACCAAAAATTGTGTACCAAAAATTGCATTATTTTTAACACATCCAATCAATCTTAGGAAACCAGTTTCCAAAGATGAGTTTTTTTTTTAATGGAAATCAAAAAAATTTCAAAATAACAAAAAAAAAAATTTGTATCTTTAAGGACTATACTAAAGTAAAAATTAATCTCAACCATACAAAAACACAATAGTAAATCTTCCTATCTCTAAAAAAGTTAGTGATACTATTTTTTGAAAAACTTTTGTTCTTAAAATACCAAAATAAAGCTCTGTGGAGAATAACTTAAAAAAATGCGCTTTTCTTAATCAAAACCGCATCTTGAGCATCTCAAAATGTATCATTTTAAGCAACTTTACCAAGTACTACCATAATTTAAATAACATAACAACAGCTTATGTATTATTTTATATAACCCATGGAATTACTTTCAAGTTCCTAATCAAAAAAAAGGGGCAGGGGACAATTATTAATTTTTAAAAATTTTCTCACCCATCACAAGCTTGTTAAAACCCTTTGTTTATTTATTTTTACTTGTGTTTTTTTTAAAAAAAAATCAGTGAAAATCAGTCTTGAAAATTAAAAAAAGATTATTTCAGTCATTGATAAAATGATTTGTTAGATCTTAACTAAAATTCCCAACCTCTTTTACCCCCCCCTCCTTTTTTTTGTGTTAAGGCTTGAGAGTAGCAGTAGTCAAGCATAAAATATTGAGAGTATAATAAATTTTTGATGATCTTGTTTTGTTCTGATGTAATCACAAAATATTGAATAACAAAAAATTATAACGGGGATGGTAAATTTTTTAACAATAAAACAATGAAAAGATATTAACTCTACAACCAAGAAATTAAAATAAATAACACTAAATTTAACTAAATTTAAGCTAACAATAAAATATGAATATACCTAACAAAAAAAATCGCAAAAAAATTAGTAGTCTACCCATAAAAGAGGTTATACCGGCTTAAAAACCTGCTCATCTTATGCAGCCTTCCCCTAAATAAACCAGAAGTAGAATTAATTTTATAATGGTGGCATTTTTGGTGTTAATTTTAGATATTGGTAATGTTATAATTGTATATTTATAAGATATTGGTAATGTTATATAATACTGACATTTTAAGTATTGTAAACCTCTTAACAGTTTGTTAATTATTTGAACTAATGTCTTACATGTGTTACCAATTAGAGTGTAGCAGTGAATCTTTCAAGCAGAATGTAGGCAATACACCTTGTCAGAAATGTGGTTTAAATTCAAATTCTTATAATCCATGGACATCATGTATATGTCATCTAGGATATTTCAGAGCCATCAGATCTGAGAAGAATTACTCAGAAACTTGTTACAGTAAATAGTTTATAATTTTTTCTTTTTTTCTTTTTCTTTTATATACTTTATTTTGTTCTAATGCAAAGTTTGTTCTAATGTATTTTGTTCTAATGCAAAGTTTGTTCTAATGTATTTTGTTCTCAAGGTATTTTGAATGTAGATTATAAAGTATTATTTAAAACATTTTTTTTTTCAGAACCTCCTTCTGTTCCAGAAGATATAAATGTTTTTAATATTACTTCTCAATCTGCTTATTTAAAATGGCGTCACCCGAAGGATGGCTCAGCTGTTAATGGTTATTATTTTATTGAATGTGTTACATGTTCCGATCAAGATACGTTTCCAAAAAATACTACAAAAACTGAAATTTTTCTACATGGATTAGGTTCATTTGGAGATTACAGCTTGAAGATTAGTTACAGAAATTTTGTATTTAGCTTGACAAACAAATTTTCTTCTGAAGTTGTTAATTTTAAAACTTTAACTGGCAGTAAGTGTTTCAATTTTATTTGTTTGAAATAAGTTTTGTCAATAAAATATATGGTACAAAAAATTTTTACTTTGTTTTCGCTGAAATTTTGTAGTTTAATAAAGTGGAGATAATCTTATTACAATTCATAACTTTTATACTCGACTTTATGATTTAATTTTTTTAAGTCTAATATGAAATCAAAATTAAAGTATATTTTTTGTATAAAAGTATAGTTTTATACATAATATTTTAATTTCACATTTTTGTCTAAGACTAGTCTTTACTTTAGCATCTTATTTCACCATAATATTTCATATATTTGAAAGTTTTAATTATTTGAGGTTTACTTTCTTAAATATTAAACTAAAATTAAAAGCTTAAAGTGTTAAAGTTGGAGTGGCTTGATGTATGAAATATAAGTAACAGGGTAGCATCGCTCATCAGGAATGCATTGTTGTAATCTTTACTATTGTCAGTAGCCTGCATCATATTAGTCATTATTGGAATAAAACAGATCTCACTTTAAAAAACTAAACACCCAAATAAATAGATATAAACAGTAGAATAAAAAGGGTTAAAACTAAACACTTAATTATAATTTTTTTTAAATAATACAATGATTTTTTAACATTTTTTTTTTAATTTTTGTTGAGAAATATGAGCTCTATTCGAATATGTAAAAAAAAAAAAAAAAATGATTGAAATTTTTTTAGTATAATGAATTTATTTGAAAAAAAAAAATCAGTTGTACCTGACAATTAGAGAAAACTGACAAGTTAAAGTATTGGTAATTTAATTTACTTAATTATTATAAAAACAATTAATTTACTAATAGAAAACAATTAATTTACAAAAAGATAAGATTAAATTACAAAATGGTATAATATTAGTTATAGTATTAATAGTGTAATATTAATATTATAGTATTAATTTGCAAGAAAAAGAGATTTTACAAGTTGCAATATTTTTTGTACAATGAAATTCTTCACCAGTTTTATATTTTTTTGCTAAACATGTTGGACAAACCCAGTTTTAGCAATCTGTACTTTCACATGTAAATCATTTACAATTTTCATTGTCTTCATTTTCATTCCACAATTTTAGGCATTGTTTGCATTTTTTTTTTTTGTTGTCCAGAATTGTTAATTTTTTTTTTCTTTGAAGGTTGTAACTCAACTTCATCATCAACATTAAAGGGACCCCAAACCTCTGTGACATGTTGTGTTCATGTTAAAGAGAATGGTAAAAAAAAAGTTTGAGCTAAATTTTATTGATTAAAAGAAAATAATAAATGCATACTAAGAAAAACCTTTTTTTTAGTCTAGCTTGCTATTTCTGTTTTATTGTAGGCCAGTCTTCATAATATGTTCTGCAATTTACAGGCCTGGTATTTTATTCAAGCGCATTTTATTCGTAAGAATTTTGATGCATGATGTCATTTATTTTTTGTTAGTGTACATAATCGATCTTTTAAACAAGTATAAAAATCTATTACGTTAAGTACTGAAACTCTTAAGAAAAAAATGCACTTGACTAAATTATCAAGTCTGTGGATTGTCGTGTACATTACAAAGACTAGATGGCCTACAACGAAACAGAGAAAACTTTGGTATATATTGATTTTTTTGTCATAATCAATAAAATTAAACCTAAACGTTTTTTTTTTATCATTTTCTTTAATATGAACACAACATGTCTTGGAGGTTTGGTTTTCCCATAAAGTCAAATTTGCATTTTTTTTTTGTTTTGTTTTGTTTTAATTCTTTAGCACTTAAAGCTTTAGCAATTGAAAAACTCCAGGTACATACCTGGAGTTTTTCAATTGTTTGTATAAGTAATTTATTCAGCCATTGCATAAACTGTTTATCATTTCATTCATTCTGACAGTGAAGTTGTGTATTCAGCTTGACTTCATATTACTTGATTGCTATACCTACTATTCAGCTTGACTTCATATTGCTTGATTGCTAAACCTACAAATGTCCCAAAGGCAACTGTTATGATATTATAAACAAGTTTAAGACTACTCAAAACTTTGAAAAAAACGCGAAGTGGAAGAAAGACCACCTAAATACTTACTGCTGTATATAGGCTGTTTTGACTTAAATATTATAAATGGTGAAATTGCAGTTCCAGCTGAATTGATTCAATTACCAAAAGCATAATTAATTTTTTCATTATTACTGAATAATTTTAATGGATGTTAAGCGCTACGTCTGCAAATTATTGATTGCCTGCCTTGGTCACCAGAAATCCTGATTTTGCTGAAGTTCCATAAATTGCACAAAGCGGACTGCATACCATAGCTACAAACTGCTTGCCACCCAAAGAACTTTGATACAAATTTTTCTTATTGAATATATTGATCATCAACAGATTTATTTTTCTTCTCATAGTAAAAATGTTGACAAAGAAGTTATGAAAAAATTGCCTTGCAATGTTTCATTGTCTTTAATTATGCATATACTTTTATCCGCTATTATTTTAGACAATTTTTTTTTCCATTGAATTCCTTTGATTTCACCATTTAAGCTTCTCTAAGATGTATTTTTTTTATGAAATGCTTTAATTCTGACATTTTTAAGGACTTTTTTGATATAAGAATGCGAAGTCTTGAATCTTTTTTTTTTTTTTTTTTTTTTTTTTTTTTTTTTTTTTTGTTATTCACCTCCTCAAGGCCGAGAAGGCCACAACAGACAAGGAGGCTACTTAAAAGTGGTTATAACCCTCTCTCAACTCAATAACTCCGAAACACGAACCTTGACGAACAAGGCAGTTGCGCGGAGAAACAAGTTGAGCGCGTTACTACCAGGGATGTGGTGGGGATCGAACTCGGAACCTCTCGCTTATGAAGCGAGTGTTTTACCACTACACCACTACCGCAGATTTTGCTTTGACTGGTTCGGATTTTTTGCTATTGAACTGAGAATCAGCTTTACCATTTTGGATTAATGGAAAGTTTTCTTTCTTCCACTTCGCGGTTTTTTTCAAAGTTTTGAGTAGTCTTAAACTTGTTTATAATATCATAACAGTTGCCTTTGGGACATTTGTAGGTATAGCAATCAAGCAATATGAAGTCAATTGATTTTTGCAAAAAAAAAATCACAATTTTTTTACACACCTCAATTTGTTTTCAAAACATTTTGCAAATCATCGATTTGTAGACAAAAGTTTATCAGCAAAATTTAAAAAAGGGAAAAAGCATTTCGTTACAAAAATAAAAGAAATAAAAAGCGTTTGTGGTTTTAGAGAAATCCCAATTTAAAGTTGACCTGATTTTTATGTGTCCACTGATATTTTCATTACTATTTCCTTCAAGCGATTGCTTTTCACTTGTTTGGAAATATTTTGCTACAATTTATTTAGTGCAAGGTGCTGCTCTTAGTGTTGATATATTACTTGCAGCTTTAATGTTTAATTTGTGTCTCCATCTGTTAATAAAATGATAATACCAGTCTTTTCCGGGTCGACCAATAACCTGCAACAATATCTATGGTTTGGCTTTGTGTTCTACCAAAACCTCGATCTGATTGTTTTGCCAGCATTTCTACCAATATCATTTCAACCGCACTACTTAGAGTTGTTGCTGTACCAGACCCTTGCAAATTCACACAACTATTTACACGATTTGCCAAGATACCTTTTAAAATATTGTATGTTTGAGATGCTTTGCATAAACTTATATCACCACTTTTTTTTTTTAATGATATTTTGGTATTTTGAATTGATTTTGATTTTTAAATAATTTAAATGGATTTAAATTTGCACAGGAAATTGTTATAAGTAAATCATAGTAAAAAATAAGAAACGATAGAAAAAGATGATTATTATTGATTTAAAAAGTTAATTAATTAAATGCAAATAAAAGCTAAGTGTTAAAATTATTAGTGTTCAGTTTTACCTAAAAATATGACTGTTCTGTAAGTCTATTATAACTTTTTTTAGGAAATAACAAGTTCATTATGAAAAATGATTTGTAATCAGAGTTACTTTTACTACAAATCTTTTTACTTAAATGTTATTTTATAACGGAAATGTTTACATCTTTATAATAAAAAACTTTTTAAAAAATTCTCATGCTCAAGCTTTTGAGTTTAATACTAAAATTATTAAAAAAAAATTATTTTACAAATGTGTGACATTTCTCAGGAAACATATGACATCTTTTCAACATTTTTTAATGAATTAATGTCTAAAATACATTGAAAAAAAATATGTTTACTGGGTTCTCCCAGTTTAAAGCTTTTATAAAATTTTAACTCTCTCAATAAAATCTTATGTTTAATTGGCAGGTGAGAAGGATTATTTTGATAAATCAAGAAGATATTTTACCAAAATAATATATTGTAAAATTAAAGTACATAATTATTTACAATTAGCAAGGAACAGAAACAAAATATTTAATTTTTTGACAAAATTTTTTTACAACCAACAAAGCATGAATTGCTAAAAAATCGTAACAAAATATATCTTTTCAACAAAATTAGTTTACAATTAACAAATTGTTAAGAAAAAGAAGAAAATTACAGCAGAATCCTGTATATCCAAAACCCTGGATATCTCAGACTTTTACTAAGTCATGCAGATTTTCAATACCCCTTGAACTTTCTTTATCAATTTACTATAAAATCATCCACTTAATTCGTACCCTTGTTAAGTCGGACCATTGGCTAACTCGAACTGTTTTTTGGGGTCTGCTCGGCAAAAAACTTTTCTTAACTATGACTTTTTTTTTGTATTGCATATGAGTGTTTATAAAACTTCCGATTCTATAGAAATTAAAAAACCTCAAGTATAATTAAACATTTTCACTGATATCTTTGATTTGGTTAAGCTTCAAATAAATTGTATTTATTAATGACTTCAAATAAATTGTATTTATTAATATAAAAAATTCAAAAGCATCAATTAAAAATTTTAGAGCGTTCAAAATTTAATACCTTTGCGTGAAATATAATTTAATTAACTAAACTTTTTTACTGATATCTTTGATTTGGTTAGGGGTCGTCCATAAATTACGTACGCTCATAGAGGGGAGGGGGAGGTCTTCAAAAAGCGTGCAAAAGCGTATGGGGGTGGGGGAGGGTGGGTTCAATTTAATAGTACTTACATCGATTTTCTAATTTATCACAATTAACCAGCTAATCAATAGAAAAGTTAAAATTCTGACTAAAGATCCTAGTTTACTAACATAAAAAGATGTGTGGTATAGGGAGTAGAGGGTATAGTTTCCCCAAATGCATACACATACATGGGGGCCCGTAGATTTTTTGATGTTTCAGGACATGGGGCCCGCAGGATTTTTGATGATCCTCCCCCCCCCCCCCTCTCTATATTTGGGAGGGGGGGTGTACATTTTGTATGGTCATAACATTTGTAATCTACATTTAGTTTTAGACAGTAAATTGTAATTTGCAATCTTTTTGTACAAAACTAAAAATTTGTCGATAAATTTAAATTTAGTTTGAGATCGTAATTTTACTACATTTGTGCGCGCTTGAGCGGGGAAGGGGGGCAAGCATTTAAAGGTTCTTTTGTTCCCAGGCCTCCACAATCTTATTTTTTTGCAAGGCCTCCCTATTTGGCATAGTTTTATTTTATTTTTTTAATTTTTTTTTTTTTTTTGCTATATAAATCTATTATAGTCGTAAATCATAGAATAAATACAAATAGCAGGGGCAAGAAGAAGACATGATTGTTTTATTCACCAAGCCATAGTTATACTTGAGTTTTAGAACTTGCACAAATTTCACACTTTTGACATAGGCATACTTATGTTTGTAGCTTGTGCAAGCTCCAAACTTAGGTATACCTATGCCAAATGTGTGAAAGTGTCCTATCTATAACATAAAAAAAAACCTGCTGGCACCCTTGCACACATGCCACCCCTTATATACTGACCCTGAGTAAGGCGAATTGCAGGCAACCTATTTTTTGAATGGAAAAAAAACAGGTTTTAGCAGTGCAATGGCCAATGAGTCGAAAAAATTGAAAACAACTCAGCTAAAAGTAAAATTAAGAGGTATATAAAGGAAAATATATTCCAGATATTTTACCCAAACAATTTTCCAAATTTTTAAAATATGACCTAGATAATCTATGTACTTTACAATAAAATACTTTCATTGTGCAAGTTGTATGCAGTAAAATAAATATATGTAATTATAAATAAAAATATGTTGTATACATATACAACTTGTAATTATACATTGTATATACATTGTTTATACATATACATTTTAAGTAAATACAATGTAAATAATTATATTCCCATTGTTTGCAACAAAACTTTCATTATTCCATATTTTTCAGAAAATGGTATTTTTTAGGTACAGAATATGTGGGTAAAATTAAGGATAGTGTGCAAATTTTTTAAAAACTAACACATAATATTGAAAAAATTATATGACAAACAAAATCTTTCAAATTTATGCCATCAAGTAATTTAAGTTTAAATATGCGTGAAAAAGAATTACTGAAGGCAAAACATTGAAGTATGTATTTAATTTTGTATTTTTGTGTAAATTCACCTTCCCATAGCCAAGAAGGCCACTACAGTCAAGGAGGCTACTTTAGTTGTAGTTACAACCCTCTGTCAACTCTATAAACTAGGTTGCTGCGCGGTGAAACACGTTGACTATAAAAATTTTATGGTCATAATTCACAATAAAAAGAAATTTTTTAACTTTTTAAACATAACAGTTGTTAGCATGATGTTTACATTGTACCTGATATATCCTATTCAACATTTAGCTCATTAAGTATTCTTTTATTTTTGCTTTTTAGAGCCTGGGGAAGTTCAAAATTTCCAAAAAAAGTTAAACCAAGATTCTTCTGTCACCATATCATGGAAGCCTCCATTCTCAAAAGGAGGACCTAATCTTAAATACTCAGTCAAATATGATGGTAAAGAAATTATTACATTCCAAAATTCAACCAATATAAAGTCAGGTGCTGAAGATAGGACTTACAAAGTGGAGGTAAACTATTATTTTTTTTTTAGTATCTTATAAGCAATTCTAACATTTGTTCAGATCTTTATTTTGTGTGTTTGATATTAATATTTGTTTATATGTTTGTTTGTGTGGGTTTAGTATTAGAACTTGTTTGAGTGTTTGTTTGTGTGTTTGGTATTAATATTTATTCGGATGTTTGTGTGTTTGGTAATTATATTTATTAGGATGTTTGTGTGTTTGGTATTAATATTTATTCGGATGTTTGTGTGTTTAGTATTAATATTTATTCGGATGTTTGTGTGTTTAGTAATAATATTTGTTCAGATGTTTGTTTGTGTGTTGGGATTAATATTTGTTTGGGTGTTTGTTTGTATGTTTAGTATTGGAATTTATTTGGGTGTTGGTTTTTGTGTTTAGTATTAATATTTGTTCAGATTTTGTTTGTGTGTTTGTGTGTTTGGTATTAGTATTTGTTCGGCTTTTTGTTTGTGAATTTAGTATTAGCATTTGTTCAGGTGTTTGTTCAGATGTTTGGTTTTAATATGTGTTCAGATTTTTGTTTGTGTTTGGTATTAACAATTGCTCAGATATTTGTGTGTTTATTAATTGAACTTATTTTAAAATTAAGTTTAAATATTTGTTCAAAAGCATTTTATGTTATAAGTTAGTTTCTTAGTTTCAACTTAGTTTCTCCGCGCAGCGGCCTTGCTTGTCAAGGTTCGTGTTTCGGAGTTAAAGAGTTGAGAGAGGGTTGTACCACGAAATACAACAAAAAAATAAAAAAAAAATAAAAAAAACACAAAAAAATGAGTAGCCTCCTCGACTGTAGTGGCCCCCTCGGGCCTTGGGGAGGTGAATAATGTAAAAAAAAAAAAAAAAAAAAAAGTATTTATTTTATTATATAGATTAGAGCTATTACATCAGTAGATGGCAAGGAGTTGTATGGACCAGCATTGATGGTAGATGTTCAAGTTAAAGGTGGAGTTAAACTTGGTGCTGCACTAGGTGCAGCATTTGGTGTGCTGTTTTTCATCGTTCTTCTTTTTATTCTGGGATTATATATTTGGAAAAAAAGACATCCTATGTATTTTCAAGCTGTTCGAATGGAGGATGGGACAGGTTAGAATTTGTTATTTTATGCTAAAATATTTAGCTAGTCCATAAGTTCTTGTTTGTACTTTGTTAAAAAAGAATTTTTTTAGTCAAAGTATTAATTAATGTGTTGTAAATCATTTTGCTCAAGATTTTATTTTGTGTTAAAGTGCATATTTTGGAACAAAAAAAAATTATTAAACCTACATTTTGGTTTAATAAACAAGGAAAGTTTGTCAAGGATATTCATGACAATTTAAACACCCAGGTGACATTTTTTCATTTATAACTGTTTAAAAGATAAAATAATCATTTTAAACACAGTATTGAAAATTTCCAGACACCAATATCATAGAAGCTATATGTAAACTTATTAAGTCTGCTTATCAATGATAAATTAATTTATCATTGATACAATAATGATAAATTAATTTATCCATTGATAAAATAATGATAAATTAATTTATCATTAAATTTATTTATTCATTTATCAATGGTAAATTAAAGACTAAGCATTATTTTCTTACACCAAAAATTTTGTTTTTTAAATGCAAATCTGTCATGAAATATATTGTGCTTTTGTATCATTTAAAGCTTATGTTAAAATTTTTACTTTTTTAGTAAAATTACCTAGTGGACCCTTTAAAAGTCAAGGCAAAGTTTATGTTGATCCAACAACATACAAAGATGTTGATGATGCTGTAGAGGAATTTGCATATGAACTTGAACGAAAAGATTTGAAGTTTGGAACTTTATTAGGTGGAGGAGAGTTTGCTGAGGTATACAAGGGAACTTTACTAAGAGATGGCAAACCTATTGATGTTGCAATAAAGATATTAAAAGTTAGTTGTTCTTTTTTTCATCAGTATTGGTGTTGGCATTAATAGTTGTATTTTTTTTATCAATAACATTTTGAATTCTTTTGCATCTTTAAAAAAAAGGAGCAAAAGGAAAAAAAGTTTATATTATAAATGGCACATTAAATATAAAAAATAAAGACTCCGGGTTTAAAAACATTAAGTTCCAATTCATTAAATCTCATAATTTTTTTTCTTTTTGCAGATCATAAGTTAACTAACATGTTTAACAACCAACAAATTTAGAGCTTCTGGACACTAGAGATCAGTAAAAAATCAAGGTATGAAGCCAGGGTCCTTTTAATCAATTTTACCAATGAATAAACACAAAATCATTTTATTATAACGATAATAAAATAACATAACATATTTTGTATTTTCTCAAAATTTAATATATACATATATATATATATATATATATATATATATATATATATATATATATATATATATATATATATATATATATATGTATATATATATATATATATATATATATATATATATATATATATATATATATATATATATATATATATATATATATATATATATATATATATATATATAATATATATATATATATAATATATATATATATATATAATATATATATATATATATATATATATATATATATATATATATATATATATATATATATATATATATATATATATATATATATATATATAATAGCAATTGCTGATCTATATACTCATAAGTATATTATATACATTATTAACTGGAAGCATATCAATTTAGAGAAAAACTATAAAAAAATTTCTTTAAATTGATAGATTGTCTACCCAAACCAACCAACAATTTGAAAATTCTAGCACTATTTTTAATTATTCACAACTCATGTCAGTATCAAATTTAACCAATCTAAATGTTTTGAACTAATCCATATATCAATCATCGAATGTTGCTACTATTCAGATTTATTATGCCGAAAATTTCAAGTATTTTTGTCAGAATGAGCCTCTAGCTGCACACAATAGACAAAATCGAGTTTCTCTTTTCACTGCAGCAATCTGACATAAAATCTTTAAACTTTCACCATTGCATCTAACACTCTGGATCACACAATGACCTCCTTACTTGCAAATTTGGCTAAGTTATTGAAGTTTATTTCATTTTATACCCAAGAATTTCACATTACATTCTCATAAATAATACTTTGTCTCGGTTTAAAAATAAAGTCAAGATAAGTGCAATAATGAATCTTAAAAAGGAATTTAACAAAATAATATTTTGGCATTTTTTTGCAGCAATACACGGCAGAAGAGTTGTTGATGGTATTAGGGCTACTGTTAAGCCTTTAGCAACCAACAAAGTAAAGCCAGGAAAAATTGAATTGAATTAGCTAATGATTTTGTGAATTGTCTTCAAGAAATTAATGTCAAGGTCCTGTACTTCCCAGAGAAAAAAAAGTCAGCGTACAGTTGACGCTGACAGTTGTACCTTGCAAAAATCAAAAATTATACAGCAAGCAAAAAAATAAAAAGATTTTAATTTTACGTCAGTTATGGCCAGATCAAAGCAGAAAAAACTTCACCATAATGCATTTGAAACAAATAAAAGAGTGAAATAATTTTTATTTTAAAGTATATTTTTATTTGGTTAATATTTTAGTTTTAGTAAAACAAATTGTTTGTAAATGCAACTAGGGGTTAAGGTTTGTAAATGCAACTAAGTCCATAAAGTATGTCACCCTTTGTGTCACCAGTTATTTAAAGTTGCCTTAGTTAATTACCTTTAATGAATGAGTTAATCAATACTTTTGCATATCTTTTTTATGTAACTATAAATATTTAACTCTTAATAATAGCTATAAATATCCATGATAAAAATTGCTCAGTAGCATAAGAGATGTAACAAGTTAAATAAATAGTATCAAGAAAACAAGTTTATTTTCCGGTCAAATCTTTTTAATTGATGTAGAATTCTCAACATCTTGTGAAAAAATCACAATCTGGGTTACTGATTTGCAGAAATCTAACCTAAAAGTTGAAACAATTTTTTTATCTTATATTCTGCATAACGTAAGTTAAGTGGCATTTTGGTAATAAATTTTCCCAGACTAAAAATTTATTTAGCTTATTTTTTACTTCAAACTAATAGCTTTCATACAAAATTGCTTAAAATTTACTTTACTGTTTAAGTATGCAAATATTTGACAAATACTCAACCCTTCTATATGAGATAATAATAAAATTTTTAACCATTTCGGAAAAGGCGCATATATTCAAGCGTTGACCAACATTCAGAGTCTAATGCGAGCCAGAAAAAAATTTAATTATCAAAATGGCTTCTATGGATTAAACAAAGAAAAACTTTCAAAAACGTTCAGCTTGTGTACTTTTAATTGCCAGGGACTTAAATCAAATATTAAATATACCGATATAATCTCTCATCATATAAAATTTTTGTGCAAATACTAGGTATCAAAATCCAAATACTCTTTAATTAAAAATACTTATAAAAACTCCCACTCAATATTTTTCATCGTAAAAATAAACACCGTTGACCTTTTGGTGGAAGTGCATGTTATGAAAGAGTCAATTTCAAAACATATTTCTTTACAAGGATATTAATATATTTACATTAAAATTAAAAAAAAATTATACCAACATTTATTATTAATTTAATCTAACCATGTCACAAAACAATCAAATGTCATTAGAAAGATATTCAAGTCAATTAGAAATAGGTAAAGGAATTATGAATAATTATGAGGGCAATGGTGAAATAATTATACTTGGATATTTCCAAATATTTTCTATGGAATATATGATCTGCTAGAGCGATCTAGCCCCATAAGAAACAATTATTTTACAGTTTTATTGGAATTTATTGAATCAAATGAACTAGAATTATTCGATGTAACTAAAGGTTCTGGTCCTGCAGTAACATATCGACATATTAAATTACCAAACTTATCTTACCAATCCAAACAACTACCGTGGTTCCAGCATTATTCTAATATTTACCTTTTTTTTTTAGAATTTCTTATTTTACTCCTCTTTTCCCTGAGATAAAAAAAACTCATTCGCTTCAGTTTGTTTTTAGTTATGAGTTCAACCTTGCATACTGAGTTTATTATAGGTGAAACAGTTAAGCATTGTTATATTATACTTATTACATTCGCCTTTTTTTTGTTTTTTGTTTTTGTTTGCTAGATGCTAAGAAACCTTTTGACAACTGCCCTTTATAACATATAAACTGAAAAGCTGCGGGAAACTAATTAAAATGATTTTGTTGCTACTACTATATATGGAAACTTTACTTGTGTTGTAGCTTATGCTGATGAGATCATTTTTCTCAGTTCTACTTTATCTAGATTTGAAAGATTTGTCACAATGTGCAATATGTACAATAATTTAAAGTGCATAAAGTTTAATGCTGTCAAAATGGAACTTTTACTCTCTGCAAAAAAAACATAACTAACTTCATGATAACCCTAGACGACCATCAAATAATACCTCATAATAACCATAATCATCTGTGTTGTGAATCAATCAAATTATCTTGTGAGACACAAAAAAATCAACTTAAGCCACACTTAATATAATAAATATAGACACTAGAATATAAAATTTTCAAACAACAGTGCAAACTCTGATTCAATATGGATTCCGGTAATCTCAACCAAGTTCCATTATCTGATTGTATAAATCCTTTGCAGTTCCAACACTAACTCACGGTCTAGAGCTCTATGAAAATAATAATGAAAAAACTTGGATAAATGCAGTTAAATCATATTTTAATGTCTCCAAGTAAAAATTATAACTATGTCTCTTAGAAAAAATTATATACACTCTATTTAAAGTTTAGAAAATGTCATCTTGTATACTGCAAAACAAAATAAATTTATTTATCTGCCTTTTAAAAAATAAAGTATTGAACTCATTACCAGCTTTTTTTTTGTTCAAACACACCTTTTTTGATATTATAAAAAAACATTCGTAGATTGAGTATGAAAAACTTAATACTGGTTAAAAAGTTTAAATTAAAATTAGGGATTCAAAAAGATACTTTTCAAATTTTGGTACTAGTTCAATGTTGGAATGCAAAACAACAGGAAACAGTTTTTTAAATTACTCTTGAAAAAAATATTTCTAAATGATTCCTTTTTATTTTATCTTTTATTTTTGCTTGATTTTAAACTAATTTGTATTTTTACTTTGTAAACATATTTATGGAGGGTGATTAAAAAAATTATTATAATAATAACTATTATTTTTTGTTGTAAAAAAGGAGAAATTTTTTTGTTTAAAAGAATTTTTTTACTAATGGAATTAAATCATTTTCTTTCTCATTCATAATCCCTTGTTTAGATTTTTTAAACAATAACAATAACAAAAATTACTGAAATGAAATCTAAATTCGTTGTTTGGACAAGATTATTATTTATTTATTTTTTATTATTTTTTAAAAATATTTTATACATAACATAATCTTTTGTTTATTTTATCACAATTTAGTTTTTTGTTATTTTTTTACGCATTAAATGAACTATATTTAGAAAATAAGTTCATAAATAAAACTTGTTGTTGGAACTTAACAATGTAAAATATGCAATTTAAATTTTAACGCAATTTAAATTAAATGGATATAAAAATCATTATTTTTTAACTATGTAAAAATTGTTCTATTCACGCAAATAAAATTCCATATTTACATAAAAAATATAAGTAAGCAACGTTGATAAAGTTTACACTATATATATATATATATATATATATATATATATATATATATATATATATATATATATATATATATATATATATATATATATATATATATATATATATATGTATATATATATATATATATATATATATATATATATATATATATATATATATATATATATATATATATATATATATATATACGTATGTATATACAAGCCTTCACAGGAATGGCGTGCGGTTTTTTGTCTTGTATGACCACACGCGAGTATATTATTTTAG